GCCTCGTGTCCTTATTGTCAGAGGACAGAGAGCTTTCTTCTGAGCACATCCCGACTGCCCCCTTGGTCTGTGTCTGCTGAGAAGGCTGCAGGGACCAAACACACACGGGCAGGCAACGCTGCCTCACACATGTCCAGTGAAGTAATAAAGACACATGACTCTGAAAAGTATTCAGGATCTTTAATTTTATGTTATATTCTGAAACACAATGCTTTAGCTGGATTGTTTTAAATCAAGTCATTACCTGTTCTGAGAAGGAAATGCACTGTAAGACAAGATGTCTCCTCACATGCAGTTAGCACCAGTCAGCAAGTGTCAGGACGTCCACGACCAGTGTTTCAACAGACTCACACTCAGAACCTCACCACGTGGCTGCGCCTAAGGGCCAGGTCCCTCAAGGGGGGCTGATGGCAGGACAGCGTTTCATCTTTCTTGTACAACCACAACACAGCAATGGCAGTCTCACTTAAATTTGCTTTTGAGAAGAAAGCATTTCCCCAGAATTTACTCATTTTTCCTATCTTCCAAAGCTGACTCTTTCCCAACAAACTCAGCAGCACCGCGTCTGTGTCCTATCTTCACGAAATCTTCTCCAAGCATTTATCAGAGCAGCAATGTTTTCACATTCTGTGCAACCACAACAGCAGGCACCAGTGGCACGGCAGGCTGGGAACACAGCTAACATCCAGCTCTCAACCTGCCTCTGGGGTCCTGGCAGCTACTGAGAGCGTATGGACAGCCGGGTGGCACACCTAGGAACTGCAGAGAGCCTCCACACAGAGCACTGCTGCTCCTTCCCAACACCCACGAAAACAGGTTCCAAAGGGGAAATCCATAACAAACAAAAAAATGCAGGAATCACAGCATAATCTTTTGAGGCAGGTGGAACAGTGGTAAGTAAATAAAACAGAAAAAGCAGGATCTGCAGACAAGGACTGGGACAAGCTGGAAGGGAGAGACAGTGCCACTGAGACCTGAGAGGTGCAGGTGGGAGTGGGTCAGAAAGGGGTACAGCCACCCGACCTGGGACATGACCACCAACCCTAAAGAAACAAGTCAGATAACCAAGATGAAACAGGCAAACACTGAGGAAGACAAAAAACCAAAGTGGATGTGAAAAGAAACAGAAAACCTAAATAAAACTTTAAGAAAAGATCCCATCTCTTACCCCCCCAAAAAAAACAAACAGTCCTTGCCATCTAGAAAAGCTATCCTACGAAACATTCTTTTTTTTTTTTTTTTTTTTGGACAGGCAGAGTGGACAGTGAGAGAGAGACAGAGAGATAGGTCTTCCTTTGCCGTTGGTTCACCCTACAATGGCCGCCACAGCCGGCGCGCTGTGGCCAGCGCACCACACTGATCCGATGGCAGGAGCCAGGTACTTCTCCTGGTCTCCCATGGGGTGCAGGGCCCAAGTACTTGGGCCATCCTCCACTGCACTCCCTGGTCACAGCAGAGAGCTGGCCTGGAAGAGGGGCAACCGGGACAGAATCCGGCGCCCCGACCGGGACTAGAACCCAGTGTGCCGGCGCCGAAAAGCGGAGGATTAGCCTAGTGAGCCACGGCGCCAGCCCCCTACCAAACATTCTAAAAGTAACTGACGGGGGCCAGTGCTGTGGTATAGTGGGTAAAGCCGCCCACCTGTGGCATCGGCATCCCATATGAGCACCAGTTCAAGTTCTGGCTGCCCCACTTCTGATCCAGTTCCCTGCCTGTGAAAACAGCTGAAGATGGCCCAAGTCTCTGCACCCATGTGGGAGATTCAGAATAAGGTTTTGGCTCCCGGCTTCAGATTGGCCCAGCTCCAGTCATTGTGGCCGTTTGGGGAGTGAACCAGCAGACAGAAGATTGCTTGCTCTCCTTCTCTCTGTATCTCTGCCTTTCAAATAAATAATATATCAATCTTTAAAAAAAAAAAAAAGCATAGTGTGTATGGATTGATCAGGACAGCAACACTCCATGACTGACCTATGACACAACATGACACACATCAAAACTCTAGCTGGGGGCTGGCATCCAACAACTGACAGGAACATTAGTTCAAGTACAGGTTGTTCCACTTCATATCCTTGCTAGTGCCTGGGAAAGCAGTGGAAGATGGTCCGAGGGCTTAGGCCTCTGCCACCCACACAGAAGAGAAACTCCTGGCTCCCAGCTTTTGCCTGGCCCAGCCCCAGTCACTGTAGCCATTTGGAAAGTAAACTAGTAGAAGGAAGACACCTCTCTCTTTCTCTTTCTCTCCCTCTGTAACTCTTCCAAATAAAAACATCTAATTTGCAGAAAAACAAGAGCAACTGTGACAGTGCAGTGCTAGGGTAAGAAAAGGTATAATCAGTGAATAGAAGGGAAAGTCCCAGAACTGACACTCTTTGGGTCAGCGCTGTGTTATGGCAGGTAAAGCCACAGCCTGCAGTGCCGGCATCCCATATGGGTGCCAGTTCAAGTCCTGGCTGCTTCACTTCCAATCCAGCTCCCTGCTACGGCCTGGGAAAGCAGTATAAGATGGCCCAAGTCCTTGGGCCCTTGCACCCATGCAGGAGACCCAGAAGAAGCTCCTGGCTCCTGCCTTTGTATTGGCCCAGCTCTGGCCATTGCAGCCATTTAGGGGGTGAACCAGTAGATGGAAGACCACCACCCTCCAACTCTCTGTAACTCTGCCTTTCAAATAAATAAATAAGTAAATAATTTTAAAAAACGAACTGATATCCCACTGAGTGCAACAAGGCCACAAGAACAATCCATTGCGGAAGCTGGGTCAACTGGATATCAACTTGCCAGAGAATGACACTGGATCCCTACCTTGATCCATATATAAAAACTAACTCAAAACAGATCAAAGACTGCATAGGAAGTAAAACTATAAAAAAGGAAAAATTGGCATGAATCTTTATGACCTTCTACAATGTAATAGTTTCTCAGTTGTAACAAAATCATAAGCAATCAAAGGCCAAAAAAACTAGATAAATACAAACTTCACCAAAATTGAAAACTTTTCTGTTCCACCATCAAAAAGCAGAAAGAACAGCCATACTGAAAATCACATAGGGGACTTGAGTATGTGGTCTACACAGAACTCTGACAACTGAATAACAGCCACCAATAATCCAACTTAGAGGCCTGCACTCTGGGCAGACACTGGTACCAGAGAGACACGAAGACTGGCAACTAGCATAGGAGAGGCTACTCAGCATCAAGAGCCGTGAGGGAAATGCAGAAGAGAACAGACTGAGAACCACACCCACCAGGAGGGCTGCATCAAAATGGCAGAAATTCCAAGTGTTGTAGAGAATGCGACTGATGGTGGAAATCAAAGCAGAGCTCAAAAAGAGGGTCACACTTTGGCTCAGGAGCAGTAGGCATAGGGCAGAGCCCAAGGATAAAAGGACAAAGTGGTGCCCACTCTGGCACCTGGTGTCATAGATGTAATGACTACTCCTAGAAAAAGACAAGGGGGGCCACCATTGTGGCATGGTGCAGTAAGCTGCCACCTGCCATGCCAGCATCCCATGTGGACACAAGTTCGTTTCCCAGCTGGGAAAGCAGAGCAAGATGGCCCAAGTGCTTGGGTCCCTGCCAACCACACGGGAGACGTGAGTGAAAGTCCTGACCCGACCCACGTCATTGCAGCCTCTCTTCCTCTCCCCCTCTCTCTGCAACTCTGCCTTTCAAACCAATAAATAAATCTTAAAATTTAAAAAAGTTTAAAAAAAAAAGGCAAAGACTGAGGATGGTGGGCAGAGAGGTGAGAGGGAGAAATCACAGAACACAGGCACTGAGAGATCAGAACACATCAAGAACTGAGAGGGCTGGGGTGACAGGAAAGAAACACTAGTCAGGTCTCAAAATGTCCTGCAAACAGATGTGAGGTGAGTGGACAGTGGGGGGACCCAAGGCAAGAGGCCCAGGGCTGGGCAGAGGTAGCAGCAGAAGGAAGTGGACAAAGAGCAGGTGGATGCAGGAGCCAGGCCTAACAGGTAAGAGACCTGTACCCATGTCGGGGTGCTTGGGCTTCACACCCAGTTCTTCTGGCTCCTGACTGCAGCTTCATGGCCCTACACACCGTGGAGACAGTGGAGACGACTCGACAGTTGGGTTCTTGCCACTCATATGAAAGACCTAATTTTGATCCCAGTTTCGGGAGGGCCCAGCATTGGCCACGATGGGCATTTGAGGAGTGAACCAGAGGATGGGAACTCACTCTCTCCTTATCTCATCTCAGACTCAAAAAAAAAAAAAAAAAATTTTTTTTTTTTAAAGGAGGCACTCATAGTCACAGACAGCTCAGTGCTGGCTGAGAGCCAGATACACACAGGGGCTGCAGCATCCCAAACTAAATAGGCCCTCACCCCAAACTTTCTTTAGGTGATCTTCTGTGGACCTCTCCCTAGAGAGCTCCTATGGACACCCCTGCATATACACCCTGTGGACAATCCCTGTACACAGCCTCTGCACACACACCCTGCCGTGTTTTCTAAGCCTCTAGTTTTACCTTGTGTAGAATGTCATATAAATGGAGTCAAACAGCATGTGGCCTTTGCAGTCTGGCTTCCTTCACTTAGCAAAACACATTTTAGCACCATCCACATGGTCGCCTGAATCGTACGTGGGTCCTGTTGTCCCATTGTGTAGATGCTGCTGATCCAGTCTGTGGGTCAGCTGAGAACGCCGAATAGTGTCAGTTTCGTTGTCAGGAAGAAATCTGCCTGAAGCATCTGCTGGCCACTCCTAACTTCCTGGTGTGCTTTAAAAGACAAGGATACGTGGGAGGAGGGGAGGCGCTCTACATCCTTTGGTAAATCTTTTCCTTCGCTAGTAGAGTGCATGTGTGTGCGTGTGTGTGTGTGTGTGCGTGTGTGTGTGTGTGTGTGTGTGTCTGTCTGGAACCCTAGGTAAAGGAATTAAACTCAGAAGCCTGGGATAGACAAGAAGACAGAAGAGTGGCAGGTCTTCCAGCTGGGGTGGAGGCTTCTGTCCCGCCCCCGAGGGAAGGCTGCTCTTACCTTCTCTCAGCAGCTCGGTTTTCATGCAGCAGTCCTGTTTAGCTTCCCCCTTAGCTGGAACTGCCTGCTAAAAAGAAACAAGAGTCATCAACCCGAATTTCTCAGGAGGCGGCCCGTCCAACATGCAGACGTGACGCCCCCAGAAGGTGGCACAGACGAGATCAAAAGCAAATTACAGCAGCAGGTGTCAAGTCCTCATCCCACACGCCAGTCCCAAGCTGCTCCATTTCCTGCTAATGTGAATCCTAAGAGGCAGTAAGTGATGCATCAAGTGTCTGGGTCCCTGCCACCCACATAAGAGACCCAGATGGAATTCCCAGCTCCTGGCTTCATCCTGGCCCAATCCTGGCTGTTTTGAGCATTTGGGGAGTGAACCAACAGACAGATGGGAGATCTCTGTGTCGCTCTTCATTCTACAGAAAGGAAGGGAGGGGGAAGGGAAGAGAAGGAAGGGAAAGGGAAAAGGATGAATTTAAAAACCAGAGCAAATTGTGGTCACAAAATTCACTCTCAGAGGCCAGTGCTGTGGTGCAGCAGGTTAAAGCCCCAGCCTTCAGTGCCAGCATCCCACACGGGTGCTGGTTCAAGTCCTAGCTGCTCCACATTCAATCAAGCTCCCTGCTAATGTGCCTGTGAAAACAGCAAAAGATGGCCCGAGTCCTTGGGTCCCTGCACCCATGTGGGAGACCCAGAAGAAGTTCCTGGCACCTGGCTTCGGATTAGTTCAGCTTTGACCATTTGGGGAGTGAAACAGTGGATGGAAGACCTCTCTCTCTACCTCTGACTTTCTGTAACTCTGCCTTTCGAATAAATAAATAAACCTTAAAAAAATTTTTTTCACTCTCAGATATCCAGACAGTTGAGACTTTGTTCAAGCAGAAAGTGACTTCTGTCTCTGGGCGGGGACTGGCATTCAGATAAAAGTCCATGGAAATTTTTACTCTGGACAATATTCACAATAAAAATGTTTCATGTGTTATCTATATAATTAGAAATCTGTTACAGTAATGCTATAAATTATTTCAAGATGCACCATGCTCCTGAAGCAATCCATCTAAGTATTTCCAATGTCCAACAACCTACTAACTAAAATAGCTACAGAAGTAGATACATCAAGCAAATTTAATAAGAAACTTTATAACAATTTGAATGTCTACTATGTGGAGGCAGGTATTATAAAAGATCTCTTGCAATTTTATTTCTTAACAAAAATCTTTGCCTTCCAGAAGTTTAGTGTGGCTAGACAAAGCAAACGCACAGCTCTTTACCAGGTCTCTCCACACGCAGCGGTGGCTCCCACGGGTTCCCAGGAGGTGGCAAGCAGTTTGCACCATCTTGCCTGCACCTGGGAGCCTGGGGTGCAGGGGTGCAGACCACTCTGGGTCTCCCACCTGAAGCTCTACGATCTAGGGGCATAATCCTATAACATGAATGATAACTTCTAGAATGTTCTCTCCAAAAGGACACCAGAGTATTTTCTCAGAATATTCCCACTGAACCTTGAGCTCAAAGCTGACTTCACAAGCAGGGTCACCTCAAGCCTCCCAGCCCTTCCACACTCCTCCTCAGTCCTGCCGGGAGCTCTCCACACCCTCAGGGCTCCCCATGGTGCTCACCTTGCTCCCACCAGAAGCTGACAGCTTCCTTACACCACCAGCACGTGGTCAAGAAAAGGACACAAGCAAGGTCTCTGCTGTCAGTGCCCTGCTACCTCCCCTGGAGGCTGGTGTGTGGCCCCACTGGGGGTTTCCAAATCCCAGGGGCCCCCAAGACCTTCTCAGAAGCCTGACAGGACTGGATTTAAGAAGCTACGAACACATAGGCTCATTCGGGGGACTGATACTACCTGACTTGCCCCCTCGACAGTAGCTGACGGGACCAGCGTTGATGTCTACACCTGGAGTAATCTTCTTAGAGGTCAGTCCTCTCTACTGGACTCCTGGGGTAGAGGTCCATCACATTACCGAGCACCCAGCATGGACACACAGGCCCAACCCCTCACCCATCAAGCTCCACTCTGCAGGCAGAGATCAGGTCGCAATCATTTCTACATCTCCCAAGGCCTATAAACACCAACAACAGTGACAGAGACAACGTGAGACAGAGATTCTGTGGCTGAAAGCATTTGTGAGCCTTTCAGAATCTGCTCAGACTCTTGTTCTGGTTGAAAAAGAAAGAGGAACAATCCTGACACCCCTGAGCCCCCAGCTTGCTGCTTCTGCTGCTCCGTGGAGCCCACCTGCTGGATGCCACCAGGAGGCCCGGGCCTCACTGGGCCCCTTCCGGCGTCCCACTGTCCCCTCACGGGATCCACGCTGGATGAAGTCTGCCAGAAAAGCTCAGATGCTCACTACCCAAGAGTCAGTCCAGGAAAGGCCATGCTGAGCTATTTCCTCACGGGGGACCCGGAGCAGCAGCCAGAGGACATGCCAGGAGGTGACTGTGCCCGAGAGCAAAGAAGGGACAGAAACCAAATTCAATTGCTTTCTGTGGACGACTGAATTTCATCAAGAAGGAATATGGCCCCTAACCTCTCTGCAAATGGGCCAGCATCCACAGTCTTCCCACGGGTGACAGCAAACCAGGAAGGGTTAGGACGAGTGTGCGCCTGTGCACGTAGAAGCATGTCAGTTACTGTACCAATCCTGCAGTTTCTCTGCACGTCTGAAATTATTTCTAATAAAGTAACGGTTCTGCTACCACCAGTGCAGGGTGGGAAGAACTGCAAGTGGGCTGGGCTGCGTGTCCATCTGTCACCCTGTCTTTGGTTTGGTTCTCCCTGCATTTACTGACCCTGCCACAGCTGCATTACAGTCACTTGGCTCCTACAGTTTGGCGCTCACAGAAAAGAACTGAGACCTGATTGGCTCCGTGTCCCACAGCCACTATGGAAACGACAAGCTCAGTGGCTGGAGTGGTCCAAGCTGCAATGGAGAGGGCAGACCTGCACCACGTGTGCGTAAGAGGACTCTGAGACCACGCATCACAGAACTACACCAGCAGTGGCAGTGTAAACACACCTCCAGAGATGTTGAGAGACATGTACTGACGAGGTAACCCAGGGCAGCAGGTGGGGAGCCAGGCTGAGAGGCAGGGGTTGCAGACCAACACCTGACCAGCTGAGTAGCAAGACGCACAGAACTGGGGAGCATCAGGCCGAGCCAAGGTGAGGATTATGAACAAGGAACCCTGTGGGATGTAGCAGTTCTGAGGGCAGATGAGGAGGGCTTCTTGAGCCACATAGTCACTAAGACCACCTAGAATGACAGCCTGTCAGATGGCAGGAGATAGCTACTCTACATGCTATCCTCATCATTAATCAATAATCAACATTGAAAAATCTGGGTTCCCAGAGTCCAGCAAAACTAGAAGACATGGTGACACAGGCAGAACTCGCCAACAGCTACTCAGTTCCCATGGGTCTTAAGTCCAGGCAGGCCCACTCACCACTGCTGCTCAGGGTCAGATCCTTGAAGATGCTGCTCCAGCCCTGGCCTGCTTCACCCTCTGAGCTGACTGGTAACACCAGGCTTCACCACACTCTTACCTTGCACCTGCTCTCAGCAAGGGTATGGCGAGGAAGGAGGCATTGGGGCATTTGCTCTGAACCCCAACCTCCTGCAGCCAACCCAGGATCAGGCCCCCTCTCCTCTTTGACCCTCAGCTGTCTGTTCAGGCCTCACCTGCTCACAGCCCATTATGGCTGCATCCCAATTGTCTCAGCCTATACCCTTCAAATTCAGCCTCACAAAGAAGCGTCTGGGTGCCCACATTCTCCCAGGGCTGCAGGAGATCAAACTCCTTCCAAGATAATATACAGAACCCCACTTGCTCTTTGCTAGCACTGGCATTTGCACCTAGAGTGCCAGAGCGATGGTGGCAGCAAAGACAATGTCTTCATGATGCAGACCAATGCAACCTCACCGCCTATCAGACCCTGAACCGTTCCTGTGGGGGGGCGAGTGCGCAGCAGCCACCCAGGCACCAGGGCTGAGCTGAGCAGATGGCCTGCTGGCTGAGTAGCTTCACCAGAAAGGCAAAGGCTATGGTTACTCAGACTGGGACATCGGCCTGTCCCTCAAAGACAGCAGCCATAGGATTTGCTGTCAACGTTAAAATTCTAGCTTTTGTCAAAATATGAATTTTAGTAAATATGCACCTGTGAGCTTGATGGCTTCTTGATATTTGGAGATGTTTCTGATGACATGGCAGGTGTTACTGTTGATTATGGCTTTGTGAAACGGGTAATATGAGTCAACACATAGGAAATCTTCCCATCTAAGAGCACCAACATGCCCCCCCTTCCCACCGCCCCTGAAATTAATATGCTAATACCAGCAGGAGACCAGCACCCAGTGCCCCACTCCTGACCCAGCCCGGGCCTTCGAAGACATTAGGGGAAGAAACCAACAAATGGGAGATCTGTCTCTCTGCCTCTCAAAATATACATTTTTTAAAGTTGGTTACTTTGGCACTAAGAATTTTGAGATCCCTACAGTTTTTTTCAAAATAGACTTTTCCCACAAACTTTTTGAAGTGCCCTTGTATTTTAATCTGTATTTTAGTAGCAATCCTCCAGGTTTTCAATGTGCCAATACTCTATCCGCTATGTCCCTCCCTCTAAACTGTAGAACAGCAGGTAGTTATTACAACTTAACCATCAAACTGCTGATTTCCTTCCTTTTTAAATTAAGTCTGGAGGGGGAAAGAAACTTAGACACTGCCCCTTAGAAGATTCCTAAAATTCAGAAACAAGTAAGAACTAGAAAGGCCTATGAAAACATGCAAATGATTTATAAATGTAAATTTTACAGACATGGAAAAGAGCCAATTGAATTGTCAGCTCACATCCGACAGGATGCCGGCGTGTGGTGCTCCAAGCCTGCGTGAGGACCAGTCCCTGCCTAGCCCTGCAGAGGCTGAGGTGGGTGCTCCAGAGGGTGGAAGGAACTGTGCCCCTGGCATCTGGGCCCTCAGGCCGTTCCTCCCCTGCTGCCCCACACTGCTGAACGCAAGCTGCTCTGCTTGCTCGGCAGCTTTCCACACCCTTCTGGGGACGTCCTTCTG